TGATTGTTTCCTGGCTAAGTGCCACCCCAGGACCGCGGTACCAGCCCTCACGCACTTCTGGCCCCGCGTACGACCGCGTGAAAGTTTTGGCCGGAGAATTGCTAACTCAGGAACGAGAAAAGCTAGAAAGCTGAAACTTTAGGAGAGTGTTCATTACTTACGCAGGACTAAAAGATTTCAAATTTAGTTTCTCAGAACGGTCCGAACTCACTCACGGGTAAGTGGAAATTTTGGCAGGGAAATTACCAACTTGGGAACGATAAAAGCCAAGAGGCTGAAACTTTAGGAGACTGTTCCCTGTTCATGTTTGACCAAAAGGTTTCAAATTCAGTCCCCTAGAACCGTCCGGGACTCACGTATGGGCGCGTGAAAATTTTTGCGGGAAAGTTGCTAACTCGAAAACGAGAAAAACTAGAAAGTTGGAAATTTAGGGTAATGTTCAGTATTCATGTACGACTAAAATATTTCAAATCCACCTCATTAGAGCCGCTTGGGACCGACGTACGGGCACGTGGAAATTTTGGTGAGAAACTGCTAATTCGTGAACGAGAAAAACTAGAAGGTTTTAATTTTAAGGGAGTGTTCCCTACTCATGGGCAATTAAAAGATTTCAGGTTTAACTCTTCTAGTGGGGCCTTTTTTGCGGATCAGCTACTTTCCATTTGTGGGTCATTGAAGTCGACATCTAAAACTGACATGCTACATAGCTGCACAATTAACTTCCCGAACTTCGAGGGCCAGTATGTCGCAGGGCTATCTACTGTGATTTCTTGCGGTCTTGCAACAGCACGAAAAGTGTAAAAACGCATGATCGCACTGGCCTGCCTGGTGTGTTCCAGCCTGGGTTAAGTACTGTCCTTAATATCTTTTATTCCATCGCACCACTTCTGCCTTCGCTGTGGTTAACCCTGTAAGGCGTCCATGTAAGCACTAATTTTACGAGCTGCTAACGTCTGCCGGCAACCACTGCTCATTCTCATCCTGATTTTTGTGCTACAGAAATCGATCTGAATTTTCGAAATCGTTGCGAACAATTACGATAAGAGATCTGTCCCTAGATCCAATTCGCACATTGCATTAGTGGTAAATAGAAGACACCTTGCATCAAAGGGCTTAATGCCTACGGATAAGTCTGTTGCGGGATGCCATTTG